AACAAACCCTAAACCTTAGTAAACCCTGCCAAAACCGTAAGAAATACTAACCCCCAACAAACCCTAAACCCTAAGAAACCCTAACCCCCAACAAAACCTAAACCTTAACAAACCCTGAACCCTAATAAACCCTAAACCCTAATAAACCCTGAACCCTAAGCAACCCTAAAAACCGTAAGAAACCGTATAAACCTTAACAAACCCTAAAGACACTAACTGTGAAAGAAAACTCTAAAGTTCTAAACCCTAAACCTGCAGGACGGGATGCTGGTAAATCCTTTTTTAGGTCCTAAAAAACCCTAAACCCCTAAAATTTACTAACCCCCTAAAATTTACTAACCCCCTAAAATTTACTAAACCCCTAAAAATTACTCAACCCTACAGCTGCGGGGAGGGATGTGGTAGTAAATGGGCAATGGGCAATGGGCAAACTTTTTGCATCACCTACGAACCGTTGAAATGCATACCCGAATTCAAAAAAATCCAGATGCAACCAGCTGACCAAAATAAGACCTTTCTACCTGGCGTCGGTTAGTCGATGGATGATTTCTGAAGGCCGTCGTGCTTCTTAAAGGAAAAGGGGAGAAAAAAGGGGAGAAAAAGGGAAAAAAGAAAAAAAAAACTCGTCACTCGAACACATGGTCATGCTTGATGACAACAACAAGAATTCAGCAAGACTTGTGATGCTGGCAAATGTCGTACCTTCTCTCAAGTATTACTATTTTCCCTAACAAACCCTAAACCCTTAACCGCCCTACAGCTGCGGGAAGGGATTGGTGGCTTACCAATGAACCTGGACGATTTTTACGTAGCAAAGCAGAGAGGGTTACTGCATTTTGGGGGGTTCGGAGGGGGGAAGGGGGAGGGGGATGATGCGGGATGCACTTGGGAATCGGCTTTCCGCAAGGAGTAGTGAGACAATTAACAATCCCCCCCCGTACTTTCATTGGGAACCGTATTCGCTCTATTTTGCAGGGTTATCCCGTTGCAAGGCAAACTCTCTGGATTCGCCATGGGAATTATTTGCTATCCTATCTTCTATTTATCTATTTAATTAGATGGATTAATTCTTATATTTCTTTATTAATCAATATAGAAAATAAAATTTCCCTGGTATTTTGCTGACCCCGCTTTTGGAGCTGAGATTGGGGTACAACTCTGGGAACCACTCTACTGTCTTCACCCGAATAGAACACCCGGTCGTTACAGCCGTATTTGGGGCAACTTTCAGTCTAGATGCAGCCATAATGACCGAGCATTCTATTGGGGTGAAGACGGTAGCGATGGGGGTAATACAGAAAAGATGGAGGGGAAAGGAAATTTCAAATTTGCCTGCCTGCATTTACGTTTGTCTTTTTTTGGTTGAACAGCAATGCTGAAATTTCAAATGTCGAAAAGTCGTCATTTTCTGAATGAAGACGTGCGTATAATAATGGCGTTTTTTTTTTTTTTTTTTTTTTTTTCCCTTTTTCTTTTCTTTGCAGCCATTACCAGGAATGGATGTTCAAGTCAGCGTGCATAAGATCCCGGACAGCGTCACAGAAGCGGAACTGCTGCAGCTGGTGCCGCCAGGAGTCGAGTGCACAGTGGAGGTACGGCCCGTCTCCTTCTCAAACGGAGGAATGAACAGCTGATTTTCAGATTGATGCAATTTTGGAAATTTGACAACTTGCACTTTTTTTTTGGTTGTTGTTGTGAACACTGGACAGCCTTGGCTTCTATTTGTGCACTGTAGCTTTGTTTTTCAGCTTTTTGTTTCTTTCAGTTTTGTTGAGGTGATCATCTATTTATTTCCATATCGCCATTCGACTCTCAAAAGTCGGGTCTGACGGGGGATGTCTCAATCCGACCATTATATCATTCACCCGGACTACATTCGCACCAGATTCAGAGTAGTCAAATGCAAAGTCCCACTGTAGCATGGACCTGAGCTGAACTCTCCCTGAGCACACGTGCCAAGAAGAAGAAGAAGAAGTTGATGATAATGAAGAAGAAGAGAGGATGAGGAGGAGGAGGAGGAGGAGGAGGAATAACAAGAAAGCAGCAGCAGCGGCAGAAGAAGAAGAAGAAAGAAGAAGTTGATGATAATGAAGAAGAATGTGAAGGAGAGGAGGATGAGGAGGAGGAGGAGGAGGAGGAGACTTCAGATAAGAAGGAGAAGGAGAAGGAGAGAAGATAAGGACAGGAAGGAGGAGGAGATGGACAGGAAGGAAGAAGAGTGGGGGGCTTAAGAAGGAGAAGAAGAAGGTGGAGAAGAAACAGAATGAGGAGAAGTGTAGGAAGAAGAGCAGACAGGAAGGAAGAAGAGTGGGGGGCTTAAGAAGGAGAAGGAGGTGGAGAAGAAGCAAAATGAGGAGAAGTGTAGGAAGAAGAGCAGCAGAAGGACAGGAAGCAAGAAGGACGAGACAGGCACAAAGGAAGTAGAATGGAGAGAGAAGAAGAAGACGAACAGGAAGATGCAGTAGGTGGAGAAGAAGCAGAATGAGGAGAAGTGTAGGAAGAAGAGCAGACAGGAAGGTAGAAGAGTGGGGGGCTTAAGAATGAGAAGAAGAAGATGGAGAAGAAGCAGAATGAGGAGAAGTGTAGGAAGAAGAGCAGCAGAAGGACAGGAAGCAAGAAGGACGAGACAGGCACAAAAGAAGTAGAATGGAGAGAGAAGAAGAAGACGAACAGGAAGATGCAGTGAAGGCGGAGGAGGAGGAGGAGGAGGAGGAGGAGGAGGAGAAGGAGAAGGAGAAGGAGAAGATCATCAGATAATGCAGAAGAA